TTTTTCCGGTTTTATACCGCTTATTATTATATCTAGGAAACCTATTAGAGGCCCTTATAATAGTAGCTCTAATTGTATCTCTAATAAAAGAGGAATTTACAAGGGAAATCAGAGGTAGAGATACTCTAAGAAACTCTCTTTAAATTTAAGTTATAAAGCGAGTTATAGTATTTACTTCTCTAATTAGTCGATTAGGCGATAGAGTAATAATACACGTTATAAGCGTTTTTTCCTTATCTCTTTACTTACTCCTAGTATATTCTATAATATTTATTCTAAGCGTATTTTTACGAATATACCTTAAGAGACTTTTATCTCTTACCTGATTAAGGTTAAAGTTAAAGTTTTTTTTAGCTCTTATAGTTCTCGCTATAATAAGCGATTCTCTTTAGCTTACTCTCGTATTATACTACGTAGTTCGGCGATTTAGTTTACTAGACTCTTATTAGCTAAATCTCTCTATAATAAGTAAGATCTAAGTCTAATTATAGAAGCTTCTTCTACCTTTAATTAGTCTATATTACTAGCGCTAGGTATTTATACTCTAGCAGAGGTACTTTAAAATAAAGAGAGTAACTTAGCTTTATTATTAACTCTTAATTAGTTCGATTTATCTTAATTTTCTATAGAAGTTATATTTTTACTCGGAGAGCTATTATTACGACTACCCTAAGTATTATATTAAGAACTTATAGTTTATACTATTAATTAGCTACTAAAATCGCGGAAATCAGTTAATATTTAACTAAGATATTATTAAGTAATAATATAGGGTTTTTAAAGGGTAAGTTGATTATATAAGCGACCCCTTTAGTATATAAGCCTAATAAAAGCTCTTTTCACTATTATAACATAGAATAGTAACCTTTACGTTATATACTAGCGTATCTTATCTTATTATAAAATAATAACTATTATAATAAGTACTAAAATAACTCTTTATAGCGTTTTATATATATAAGTTAAATATATATTCAAACTTAAGGATTTAATTAGTTCTTTTAAGGAGCTGCGTGTATTAAAGAATAAGAGCTATAAAAATAGTCTTTTCTACTGCTACTAGAAGCACACTAGTGGGCTCGCTTAGCTCTCTGAAGTAGCTCTTATTTGCTATTATAACGTAATAACGTTTCTAAGAGAGATATTAGCTCTCGTAATAACTAATAGCGAATAAGACGCTAGTCCGAGTTAGGAGTATTCTTAATAACTAGTATAACGCTTAGTAGTCGGATTATATAGCTAAGTCCCGTGACTTAGTTAGATATCCAGGGTTAATATAAGAGTATTAAGTAATAATAAGCACTTATCTGCTTTTAGCTAGCCTTATAATTCTAACTAATAGTAAAGCTAGGCGATTCCAGCTTTTAAATAATACTAAGCTAAGCGTAGTCTTATAACTTCGTATAAGTAGTCTATTATCATATAACTAAGTAAGTAGCGCTAGTAAGGTAGTAATAACAAGGGTCGAAAAATAAAGGCTCGCTTAAGTAATAAGTATAAGTTATTAGGATATTATTACGCTATTACTAGTAATATAATTTAAGCTTAATATAATATAATAGCACGGTTTAGCGTTAGCTAGCACGTAAGCGAAATAACTACAGATCAGGTAATAACTTCTCTATTAGCGCGAATATTAAGCTAAGGAGCTCTCGATTCCGTAGAGGGCGCTCGAGCTTATATAGATAAATTCACCGGGCTATTCCTGATTAGGCTTAATTACATTTGATATAAAGCTTAATATAAACTCTTATAGTAGTGTAGAGCTATTTCCTCTTACGTATAACTAAGTAGGTAACTATTAGTAAACCCCTTCTAAGTTAACTAAGCTCTACTGAGTCTTACTGAGCTCTAGACTTTTCCTAATCGGGTATAGTAAAGAAGTAGTTACTACTACCTTTACAGCTAATATAGTGTTTATAAGAGGTGTTAAGCTAATTAATATTATTCTAAAGATAATGATTTATTATAATATATCTTCTAGTACTTCTTTTTCCCTTATACCTTTAATAACTAAAGCTCTAAATAAGCTATAAGCTCTTTTAAAAAGTTAATTTAATAGAGAATAAAAGATTTATTAATTATAGTTAATTTATCTTTAATATTATATTTTTAACGCTTTAAATTATCTAAGGAAAAGTAGTAGTATTTACTATTATTAATAAAGTAAAATTTTATAGTATAATAATAAGAATTAACTTTATAAGCTTATTATATTTAAATAATAGTTATAATCTTATATATAGTTCCCTTTTTAACTTCTTAATTCTTTTTAACTTCTATTAAAAGATAAGTTATTATCATATATAGCTTCTTTATTATTAAGCTTTCCTTCTTTTAATATATACGCTTTAAAATAGTAATAACTAGAGCTTTTAAAGTAGAAAGGTCTTTCTAAAGTAGTTAAACTATATTTTAAAGTATTTATATAATATTAAAGTATATTTAAAGCTTTCCTTACTTTAATTTCCTTATAATTTAAGCTTATTTAATAAAGTAGTTAAAATCAGCTTTATTAATAATATTATATTCTATAGGGTTTTAAATAGTTTTATAAGTACTATATTAGTAAGTATAATCTTTTTATAGTAGAGAAATACTTTTTAACTTAATTATAATATCTAATAATATCTCTATAGCTTTCTTAATAGATTTATAAGTAACTTTAACCTTTAGCTTATTTATTACCTTCTTTATTATATTACTTATTCGCTTACTATTAAAGTACTACTAAATCTTAAAGTTTATAGCTTATATTTTAATCTATAGAGGTATATAAGATTATATAATAAGAAGTTCTAGTAAAGAGAGAGCTTATAAAATTAATAAAAGCTTAGAAAGTAAAGGAAAGAGTAGTAATAGAAGCTCTATTAATCCTATAACTAATATAACTACTCTTATATTTAGATTAAGTATAAAAGCTAAAGTACTAATAGTAGAACTAATAGAAAAACTATTAGCTTAACTCGTATTAAGTTTAGAAGTTATTTTAAGTATTACTAGTAATAAAGGAAGTAGAGTATATAGAGCTTTCTTTTTAGAAGCTTTTACTTAACTATTTTAAGCTTTCTTTAGAGATATATTTAAGAATATTAAGTAGAAATAAAAAGAAGAGTTTAAGAGCTTTAAAATAATTTAATTCCAAAGAAAATTAATAGAGATTTAATAGAGTTATAAAGGTTATAATTCTAAGTTACTATCTTTTAGTAGAGTCTATAGTAAAAGTCAATAAGTTAGTGTTATTTACCGAAGAATCACGCTAAACTGAAGAATAGCTGTATAAAGTGTCACTTCCGATCTAAACGGGCCCTTAGCTGCAGGTGTCAAAGCCACACCCTCCGACATGACATTTGTATAGGTACTCCAGATTTCAGTTGAGTGTTACTTGCGCTTTACTTAGACTGGTGGGCTCATCATCGTGAATGTACCGATGGAAGATTTTAGTGGTCGGTGATTTACATAATCTATCAAATCAAAATCTTGTATTTTTGTTTCTGGTAGCCCGCCCAGGTTCGATCGAGGGTGGCCGACCAGCCGTTGTGATATGTCCTACACCGAGGTAATCTCACCAAGCGTGCTGCTGGAGGAGCTACCTACCTGAGAACCTACCTGAGAGCCTTCCTAAGGTATACATACCTATGTCACAAGTGATAAGTGGGAATAGGAGGCATAGCAATGGTAGTTGCGGTGGGTCCTCGAATTTTTTGAAAGTTACAGTTGAGAATTGTTACTTGCCTAGTATTTGACAACCTTGGAACCCCGTTCTCAGGTCCACCCTCCTTGTATCTGCGACCTACCTACTCAGCTTCAAGTACACCCTAAGTATAAGCACTTGCGATTGTACACTCTTATACTTGACGTGTCCATTCCCCCAGAAAACGGCAGGCGTATGGTTTCTAAATACCTACGTTAGGTACAGGTACTTTACAGCATACTGTAACACTCCTGGGGTTACACAGGCAGAGCTTGGAAGGGAGGGGGACATCAGATGTGATGTGACCCAATTCCAGGTGCAAAAAGTCTAAATGCTGAGACACGACGATTCGACGCGGAACCCACATACGTAGCAGACAAGGAATGGAAGAGAGGGTACCCAGACCACATTGTACCTCAGACCGTGCCAGGTCAAGTTATATTGGATTGCAGCCAAATTGTTGAAGCGCAGGCCCGCCTCGCCCCTTAGCAGGCATGAATATAAATAACTTCTGCTAATTGAGGTTAATCCCTTGACTTCTCGTTCGTTCCGTTCCTGTCCTTCCTCTCCTCTGCATCATCAACTTCAGCCCCTTCATAGTTGCATTTGCATCCCCGGTTATCTGTCGAGGCAGGGCAGAGCCGACAGTCACCCTAGGTCTTGATATTCTCCCTAGGTGAATTTCTTAAAATCTCCAGGTTCACTACCTAGGGTACCTATAGGTACACTTCACTTCGCCTCCCCACGTGTCGTTCCTGACTGGAGTAGCGCCCGACTAATAATTTACCTCTGGGGCAATATCTTAGCTCTGGACTTGTGTGATACACTCCACTTACCCGTACTGCACTGCACCGCCAGACCGCATCTCATCTGCAACCCTATCTGCAACTCTTCGATAGCGATCAACAATCTGCGACGGCTGCATACCCAACATAGGAAAGAAGGAACTCTCTGCTGTTCCTGCATCTATCTCTACAAAGCCGTTAAGGCCAGTCCTACCAATAAGAAATTCATCCATACCTCCGCACCTATCCACACCCACGCAGTCCACGATACATACAATTACACTCGCAGTCAGTCAGTCACGGCTCGACCGTCACAGCTTGCTGCTTGCTTGCTGTCACCCAACTTGCCGCCTCTTCCCACAACCAACCAATATTAGCCTGCCAGCGTCAAGAGAGCCGCCCAGCAGTGTTTGTCTCCCGCACAAGCCACACGCCAGCCTTTTGCGACTCATTTTCCCACAGCTTCCTGTCCTTATACGTCTGCCAATAGCTGCAGAGAGCCGGGGAGAGATATCGCCAGTATGTCAGACGCTATCGGTTCGGTGCGAACATTGAAGAGGAAGAACGTCAAAGGTCTTGCTTTGGCAGCACCTGCCCCGCGGCCTGTAGCGCCTTCAGAGAGTGATCTCCAGATTCCGGGCGGCAACGGCAATGAAAATGCCAGGCAGACCGCACAGCTTGAGATAGGTATCGAATACAAATTGGATCTGAAGAGGGAGGATCTAGAGGTTCTGAAGGACCTGGGACATGGAAATGGAGGAACCGTCAGCAAAGTCAGGCACATGGCGACGGGAACAGTTATGGCAAGAAAGGTACGCCACAGAATCCAGCGTTGCCTGGCCTGTATGCTAACATATTTACTCTCAACAGGTTATCCATGTAGAAGCGAAAAAGGAAATGCGCCGTCGAATTGTCAGGGAACTGCAAATCATGCACGACACCAACTCAGAATTCATTGTCAATTTCTATGGAGCCTTTCTCAGCGATACAAACGACGTTATCATGTGCATGGAATATATGGATGTTGGGTATGCAAATACGAACAGTTATAGGCCATCTGCTGACTTGCTCTAGTTCTCTTGACAGAATCTCCAAACTGTTCGGTCCCGTACGGGTGGATGTGTTGGGGAAGATTGCAGAAGCGACGCTTGGAGGACTGACTTACCTCTACATTAAGCATCACATCATGCACAGAGACATCAAACCCTCGAATATCCTGGTGAACTCGAAGGGCCAGATCAAGCTGTGTGATTTCGGCGTCTCAGGAGAGCTAGTCAATTCTGTGGCTGATACTTTTGTTGGGACTTCAACATATATGGCCCCAGAAAGAATCCAAGGCCAGAAATACACGGTGAAGTCGGATGTTTGGAGTTTTGGCTTATCAGTCATGGAGTTGGCAATCGGGAAATTCCCCTTCGATGCCAGCGAGCACTTGTCTGATGGAGACGGTGCTCCATCCGGTATTCTGGATCTTCTACAACAGATTGTTTATGAGCCAGCTCCCAAGCTTCCCAAGAGCGAAGCCTTTCCCCAGATTTTGGAGGATATGATCCAGAAATGTATGGCCAAGGCCCCAGAAGAACGTCCTACGCCACAAGAACTTTTTGTAAGTAGCACTCAATCCCCACCCACCCTGCGTCGCTTATTATAGGTCATTGGCTAACATCTTGAAGGAACGCGAGCCTTTCGTACAAGCAGCCAAGAGAACTCCGGTAGATTTGAGAGAATGGGCGGTCAGTCTGATCGAAAAAGACAATCGCAAATCCCATCTCGCCCCTCAGCTATCACCCTCTACACAACAACTCCTTCGTTCCGGAGATTCGCCCACCGGACCGTATCCCTCAAACTCCCCAGATTACTCGTTACCTACACCAACATCTGGTGACATACCAATTGGTGGTGGTGATGTGCGTTCAGCAGTAACCTCTCCCCAGTATAGCGACAGATCACCAACCAAGAATGGATCAAATAGCCTTGGTCGTGCATCAGGTGCTCCATACCATCCTGGTCTTCCTCCTCGAGTCTCTACAACAAATTCTGTCCCTAAAGTCACGACATTGAACGTGCCAGATCACTCGTCCAATGGCCCTTCCAGTGCCAATGCTGCTTCTTTTTCCACCACAACACTCCCCATGCGGCCTGCACCACCTGCAGGACCCTTACCACCACCCCCGGTTCCGAAGAAAGAGAATGCTGATGGCGACGTGAAAAAGGAAAGTAGACGACAAGCCACCTTTGGCAATGGCTTGTATGGATCTGGATATCCAGGCAACGGGTCCAACTCGTACGAATATTAAATCATTATAATGCCGTTCTGCGGACGTTCTTTCCGGCCCTTCACACACTGCAAATCTACAAGCAATTTAGCATCTCCCTGGCGTCCCACTATCATGTCAGATTTATGTTCATTTTCCATTTACTCCTTGACTGCATATGTGTCACTTCTCGATCATCTACTTTGACCGAGTTGTGCGATGGACGGTACCGGGGAATTTCAATGATAAAGTAGCTGAACGAGTTTTGCTGCTGCCGTATTTAGAGAACGAGTCCTCGTGTTCTCCACCTATTATATATTACTTGGTTGTGATATCCTCAGCCTTCTATTCTGTGGTAGCCCTCTTACGCTAGTCCCTGTATCGCTGTCTTCTCTTCGGGGGTCTTTCCTACGTACCCCGACTCCAATAACTCAATTAGCTCGTCTAGCCTAGACACAACCATATCCGTGTGCTCGTGATTAGCAAGGTGGGCATTTATTTCATTCACGAGTAGTACTGTTGCGGCTCCAGCTTGATAGCCTGCTGTCATGTCATCTAGAGAATCCCTGACTACATCGTCAGCATATGGCCTGCCTTCGTAGGCACATGTACCATAGAGGGCGTGTGGTGCAAAACGAGCAAGGACGGCTTCATGTCCTGGATTGCTGGACTTACCCAACCATGATCATATGACTAGCATCTCCTACATCCCCAGCCTCGTCTATTAACCCCCAACTTTTCGCTATGTGCAAGATACCGGCAGGGTGCGGTTTTGGCGGCTTGAATTGTCTCGTCACAATCGGCTTAAACTCCTTTCCAGTCAAAAATTTCTCCAGCAGATGTGTGACAGGGGCATCAAAATTCCGAGTGCAGATGCCCTTGGGGATGTTGTGTCTTTCGAGATATTCCATGAGGGGAACGAGACCTGGCTGAGGTTCCTGGGAGCTCATCGCTGAACGCTCAATGGCGCGGATTTTATCTTGTGCGAGTTCTTGGTCTGGTGTAGGCAAGGAGTGGATGTAGTCAAGGATGTCAGTGCTTTTGTCAATTCCAAGAGCAGACCGCATTTGCCCGAACATCCAGGTCTGTGGGATGCTGTGAAGTGTCAGGAAGTGATGATTGAGGTGTAAACAAATTACAAAACGTGAGATGATGAAGGGAGTGGTCATTGTCGGTGGTATTGTGCGATTCGCGCTCAGATAGCACTGGGTTTGGAAATTCTAGCAGCTGTCTCCACCTGAAAAGCAATTGATGAAAAGTTCCATGCGACCTGCTCTACAGACAACAAAAGCCGCCTCCAATGGCAGCTATATCGAAGTCAGGTTCAAGAATAGCCCTTGTTAGGGGAACTTTCATCATTATCTTGGAGAGAAGGCTAGCCAACAGATCACATAGATAGACCATATGGATGGCTTCACAGTCTTGAAAACACGCAGAAACCACCAGAGATTTTGTTTACACCCTTTTGTAAAGCCTCCTCCAGCAGCAGCGCGCACTTGGCGTTCGGCTCGATCAGGTAGGTAGACAGGCACTTCAAACAGCCTTGATAAGAACATCAAAACACATCTAACAAACACAAATGAAATCGGGCGAACACTGTAGAAAATACGTCAAACTAACCACAACGTCCCATCAACATCAAAGACAATACCCCTGAGCTTTGGTAAATCTCCGCCTGAATCACTACCCAAAGGAGCGAATCTCCTAGGCTCCCTCAACAGTGATATCGTCATAGTGGACAATCTCTTAGCATTTCGATTTCGATTTGCAAGGGAAGCTGAGTCGAGACCAGGACTAAGGTACTTAAGTAGATGGTTTCCGGTTTTCATCCGGAATTGATAAGAGATTGGTGTTGTGTTTTGATTTGGACGTGTTGGCTGGTGTGTGAGGAACCACAGGGTTAAGGTAGCCAGCCCTTATCGCACTGATGAAGCAGGTAATTCAAGCCTCAGGCACTTACTTGGCCCACTAGCTCGGGTGCGCTGGTCTGTTTCGGAGCCCTTACTCCTCAAGAGTATAGTCCTTTGTAATATTTCGGAATACTTGGCTATAGGTAGGCATGGTATCCAAAAACCGTTTAGGCCTTGCGTTTTATTTCAATTCTCAGGGTCTATAGCATTCCTATGAGCTTCTCAACATACATACTATAATTCTGCTTACCTTAAAGGTAAAGGCAGGGGTAAAGAACAGCTCTTAGATTATCTGCAGATAGTTCTTCCTCTAAAAAGTATTCCTTTTCAAAAACAGTCCTTAGACCGCCTTAGGATAGTTCTTTTCTCTGAGATAGTTCTTGTTTTTACTTTTAAGGTTAGAGCCCTCTTATTCTTTTTTAAAGAGAGAATAAAACTTGAGCCCTCTTCACCTTAAGTAAACACTTTGTACCTTTTATATAAAATTAAGTCCTCTTTTTAGTTCTTAAGAGTATTTATATCTGTAATAGACTGATTATAGTAGGCGAGTTATATAGGTAAGGCTAATATTATAAGGCTATAAGGCTAAAGTTATATAGCGAACTTAGGACTAGCTTAGTTTACTAGTAGCTATATCTCTTTTATTTATTCTTAAAGTTCCTTAAGAACTTCTTTCTCTTATTATTTTTTCTACTTTATATTATAATTACTAATAAATATTTATTATATTATTATATTAAAAAGATTTTCTTCACTTATAAAAGTCTTAATATTTACTTTAGCTAAATTCTTTAAGTATATCTTAAGTATAGTTAAGTTATATTTTTAGCTCTCTTTTTTCTACTTTATTTTTTATATCTTATTATTTCCTTAAGTACTTTTAAGTATAATTAAATTATATTTATAACTTTAAGTATTATTTCTTACTTTTTACTTTTATACTTATACTTTCTTATAAGTAATCTTAATTCTTTTTAGAGAGTAGATAAAATATAATATAATATCTTTTTTATAATTAATCTTACTACTTCTTTAATATTAAAAGAAAGAAATCTACTTTTATAATCTTCTTTAAACTTTTCTTTTATTTATATTATACTTTATAAATATAATATAAGAAAGAAGAATAATTTAATCCTTTTAATCTTTTATAACAATACTTTATCTCTTATTAAAAAGGATTCTTAAGATTAATAAAATTACTCTTAAAAGAAATACTTAGCTTTTATACTAGTAATTAAGGCCTTAAAGAGCTTTAAAGAACTTTAGAGATTAGCTAAGTATTAAAATAAATAAGATAAAAACCTTTAAATAATAATAAAGATACTTAAGAACTTAACTTCTAAGTTAAAGAAGCTAAAGTTATTAAGCTCTTAATAATAAGCTCTTAAATTAAAGAATAGTAATAACTCTAATAATAGTAGATTATCTAAAGATAACTAAAATAATATCTTTTAAGTATTAGTAAAGCTTACTTTTATTTACTAAAGATACTATAAAAGACTCTCTCTTAAGTAATATATTAATAAGTTCTCTAGTACCTTTAATAGCTTAGAATAATATACTTAGTCTACTTTTATAACTAATAAGCTAGATATTAATACTAACTATTACTTAAATAAAAAAGCTTAATATATTATAGTATATAATTATATTAAAAATAATACTTAGAGCTATTTACTTTTTTACTTTAAAGTTAGTATTATAAACTTTTTTATAAATACTAAAGAAATATTTAGTTATCTTAGTAATATCTATAGTAATACTTTTAAGTAATAAAATACTAAGATAGCTTTAAATAAGCTTTAAATAATAATAAGTAAGTTATTTACTAAGTATTACTTAAAGTTCTTAAAGCTTATTTAAGATACTTATATCTTATTTACTAAAAGCTTTATTACTTACTTATATAACTCTTTATATTTAACCCTTAAGAAGTAAGTAGTTTATAAGTTTACTTTTAATAGAAGCTTTTAAGACTTTATTTATATAGTAGATTTCTTAGATAAGAAAGTATATTAAACTTAGAAATAATATTAATAAATTATAATAATTACTTAAGCTCTTATACTTATAATTTACTTCTTAACTTCTACTTTCTTTAGAAAAGACTTAATTGCTTTTTTACTTTCTAATAATATTCTTATTTTAACTACTTTAACTCTAATAATAATTACTTTAAAAGCGATTCTTTCTTCTCTTAAAATAGTTATATATTATAACTATAAGAAGATAAGCTATATTACTAAGAATTACTTAGAGTTTTATATAATAATAATTATAAAAGTTAAGGTATTAAAGAAGTACTTTAATACTAGTTTCTTTTTTAATAAGAAGATAAATAACTTAAAGGAAATACTTTTAAAGTTAAAAAACTTAAAACCTTAAGAGAAGACTCTTTTTTAAAGTAAATATTTAATCTTAAGAAGATTAATATATATTAACTAATAAGTAGTAAAAGTTTTATTATTTTTTATATATTATTTTATAATAATATTAAAATTATATTACTTATACTTTTTAACTTTAAAGTAAGTAGTTTTACTTTTATTAATACTTACTCTACTAAAGACTTAGTAAGGAAATTTAGTATAAAACTTATTTCTTTACTTAATTTTATATAAATAAAAAGTTATAATAAATAAATTAATAATATTACTTTTTATATAATTCTTTTAAATATTTTAATTAATTAATATATATAGAAAGAGATCTTATTTTTTTTTAGATCTTAAGAATTATAAGATTATTTCAAAATAAACTTAAATAACTTATTTTAATATTTAGTTAAATATTAAAGATTATTATTTTATTTAGCTATATAATAAGGATAATCTTATAGTTCTCTCTTAATTAATCTAGCTCTTATAAGATACCTTATAGCTATTAAACTTATTATAAATATAAGTAACTAACTAATAATATATATTTTAATAATAAATAGCTATAAATATAAAGGATATTAATAGACTTTTCTTTTACTAAGTAATAGTTTAAATTATAAAGGATATAAGAGAATCCACTCTTATAAGTATACTTTCTATTAAGCTTTAATACTTCTTTCTCTTTTTTTAAAAGTATTATATAATAAAGTAAGAAACTTAAAAGAAATAATATTAAGAAAATTAAAGATTTATTTAAGAGCTCTTTACTTTAACTTATAATAGTTAAGTATAAAACTTAATTAGATAAATAGAAAAGAAGCTATATAACTTTACTTTATATAAACCTCTTATAATAATTTTAAAAGATATAATATTATCTTACTAGTACTTTCTTAAAAAGAGAAAGATTCTTCTAAAGATAAATATTACTAAAATTAATACTATAATATTCTATTATATCTTATAACTCCTTAGATTAGAATTCTTTATAATAATACTAAATGAAATTAATAAGATAATTAACTAAGTAACTTAAAGAGTTAAGTTATAAAGTTTCTTTAAACTTAAGGAATTATATAAGGATATCTTAAAGAAGAAACTCTTTTATTAATATAAAGAATTTATTAATACTTTCTTAAAAATAACTACTAACTTTTTATTAAACTTTATCTTAAGTTTAGATTATAAGATTAAATTAGAAAGGGATATTAACTATAAATATAACTTTTTATATTAATAAAATAAAGCAGAATTCTAAATAATAAAGAAAAACTTAGAGAAGAATCTAAATAAGAGTTTTATTATCTTAAGTTATACTTTATTTACTTACTTAACTCTCTTTATAAAGAAGCTTAATAATAGCTTATAATTTTATATTAATTATTAAAAGCTAAATAAGATTACTTAAAAAGATAAGTATCTCTTACTTCTTATTAAGAAAGTATTTACTTAGTTAAGTTAAGCTAAGATCTTTATTAAAATTAATATTTAAAGTATATTTTATTAGATTTATATAGATCTTACTTTTAAGAAATATATTACCTTTTATACTTAGTATAAGAGTTATAAGTATAAAGTAATACTATTTAGTTTAATAAATAGCTTACTTATATTTTAGTAGTATATAAATAATATACTTTTTAATTACTTAAATAGTTTTTATATTATATACTTAAATAATATTATTATTTATTTAAATAATCTCTTAAAGTATAAGAAATATACTAAAAAGGTTTTATAATACTTATAATAATATAAATTCTTTACTAATATTTAAAAAGATAAGTTTTATATTAAGAAGATTAAGTTCTTAAGCTTTTATATTATTACCTAAAGAATTAAAATTAACTTAGAGATAATTATATATATAAATAATTAAGAACTCTTTATAATAATCTAAAGTATTTATTAGTTCGTAGACTTATACTATAGAAGTATAAAGAGTAATTAAGGGGATAAGTAATCTTAGTTAAAGAAAGAATTACTTTTAGATATAAACTAAGGGTTATTTAAGAGATAGTATATATTCTAACTCTTAGATACTTTTTATAATATATACTTTTAAATACCTTTAAACTAAACTTTAGATTTTAATATATATTAATATATACTTATTATTTATTTACTAGTATAATACTAATACTAATTAATAGTTACCTTATATTATAAAATAGATAAGTTAAATATAATAGAGTTAACTCTTAGGATATAATACTAATTTAATATTAGTAAGCTCTTATTAAAACTAAGTAAAGTAAGCCTTATAAAGTAACTAGAGAACTCTTATTAAAATTAAGTAAAGTAAGTTTTATACTACTAAAGAATAATAGCTACTTTTAAATAGTTATTAAAGTATTTCTAAAGTTATTTAGTTAGATATTTCTAAGATATAGAAAATATATCTGAAATACTTATAAATCGCCTCTAATATAATAATAACTTTAATAGATTAAGTTATAGAATAATTTAAAGTAGAAGTTAGAAATAGTAAGACTTTAATATAAGATAGAATACTAGTACTTAGAGTACTTTTATTAAATCTTATAGAAGCTAATATTAATAGTCTAGTTCAAGGGTTTATAAAGAGATATTATTTCAGGACTTTTAGAAGTATTTTCCTAATTAGATAGCAGATAATTTTAAGAAGATAATAAGTAATAATAAGAGCTCTAAGATTATCTCTTAAGGAATTAAGTCTATATTTAATATTAAAAGAGATTATAGATTTATTAGGCTCTTATAGTAGTAATTTAAGTATAAAAGAATACTTAGCTAGATAAATAAGAAACTAAGCTATTACTAGACTTACTATTTAAACTCTTTTTAGATAATATTTAAAATTATAATTTAAAAAAGAACTAAGTATAATAAACACTTTATTAGAATTCGCTTAA